TTCAGGTATTTTCCACTTCCAATTCTGGCAGTACGGAAAATGGGTGGATGTTGTGATCGATGACCGTCTACCTACATCAAATGGCGAGTTACTTTACATGCACTCCAAGAGTAATAACGAATTCTGGAGTGCTTTGTTGGAGAAGGCATATGCCAAGTACGTTTTTTATTTTGTGGCAATAAGATGCACAAATTGGCATTTTTAGGCTCTTCGGCTCATATGAAGCGCTCAAAGGAGGTACCACAGCCGAAGCTCTTGAAGATATGACTGGTGGTTTGACAGAATTCTTTGATCTACGTCAACCACCTAGAAATCTGATGCAAATGATGATGAGAGGGTATTTTTCACAATCTATATCTTTTCCTCATTCTCAAATAGTTGGAATATTCAGATTCGAAATGGGCTCGCTATTCGCCTGCTCGATCGAGGCCGATCCATACGTTTGGGAAGCAAAAATGTCCTGCGGCCTTGTAAAGGTATTTTTTTGCGCAAAGATGTTTATTTTTGACAATTTCCCCAATTTTTACGATTCTTTTAGGGCCATGCTTACTCTATCACTGGTATGCGCATTGTAAATGGTCCATATGGACAGACATGCCTACTTCGTATACGAAATCCATGGGGTAACGAGCAGGTAAAGAAAAATCATTTTTTGGCAGATTTCCCAATGATCGTGACAAATTATTACTGAGCCCAAGGACCAAAAGTATTTGATATTTACGTGCCTTTTGAAATGGGTTACTGTAGAAATTTATCAGAAATCCAAATTCTGTAGAAATTTGGCAGAAATCCAAATTCTGTAGAAGTTTGGCAGAAATTCAAATTCGCATATTTGAGGAATGGAATGGTCCATGGTCAGACAATTCTGAAGAATGGCGTAGTGTATCTGGCCAAGAAAAAGAAGATATGGGCTTACGCTTCGATCATGATGGAGAGTTCTGGTAAGTTCTCTTAGAACATTTTTTTCAAGGTAATTGCCGGACGAAGGCAATAGTTTATACGAAGCGAAGCAGGCGCAAAGCGCAGAGTAACAAATTCGACGTGCCGCGCCGCGTGCGCTCGCTTAGCTTACGTGGGCAACCACTTTTATTCGGTAATGGACCATGGAACCAAGCAAGTGTTCAGGAAGAATGTGTTGTTTTTTTTTTT